AATGACCCCTTTCCTCTGCCCTCCGCAGGACAGCTCGTGATGTACATGTTCTCAATTATCTGCTGTACAGGTCCTAATTTGCAAAGGGTCCCATCGTCTAGGAGAATAGGATGCAGCTCTGACTCCACAGCTCCGCTCCACACCATAGGGTTAAACATGATGTAAGTACGAAAATATCAGAGATGTCCGTTTATTAAATACTTATTGCTGATACTTGCTGCCTCCGTTGCCAAATAATAGTGGGAAATAGAATGTGTTTTGCAAAGTGAAAGCCCAGGTTAGATTCCCCACTAGCCTTCCTTCGCTCACACCAATGTCATAAGCAGACCAAGAGGAGATTCATGTTGGATGTCTGGAAACGGAGATTGTATCAGCAGGGGAACAGTTAAGGCATCGCACATTCCTTCTGGAAAACAAACCATAGCTTGTTTCAAATCCATGAATGCTCTGGCAGGCGTTTGACTTTTACCCAGTTACATGTTCACTTCATTTTACGCAGTTACATGTTTGCTGGAGCTAGACTCAGTGGTAACAGATGACAGAACAAGGAGAAATGGTCTCAAATGGCAACAAGGGAGGTTTGAGTTGAATATTAGGAAAAACTTTCTCACTAGGAGGGTGATGAAGCACTAGAACACATTACCTAGAGGGGTGGTAGAATCTCCACCCTTGGAGGTTTTTAGGGCCCAGCTTGACAAAGCCCTGGCTGGGATGATCTAGTTGGAGATGGTCCTGCTTTGAGCTGGAAGTTGGACTATATGACCCCCTGAGGTCCCTCCCAACATTCATTTTCTATCATTTTCTCTGATATAATTTCACTTTTTTAAAAAGCTGGGTCTCAGAGCCATATGATGCTTGCTTCTTTTGCTTCTTGGCTGTAGCTGGGGGGGGAAAGCAAGAGATAAAGATACCTAAAAATCAGAGCTGTGGTTTGTTTGACATCTTCAAGTCACAACAGTGTGTTGATAGCCACATGCACTTGCTATTGTTATAAGCTCACATCTGAACTCACTCCTGAACTTTCACCTGTTTTTCTGGTCTTTAAAAGGGCTAGAAAGTGAAAGTTCAGGAGTGGGTTCAGATGTGAGCTTATAACAATAGCAAGTGTGCGTGGCTAACAACACAGTCAGATCTTTCCCT